GGGCATTTTGGGAGGGGGTATGTGGTAGCCATCAAGGAATACACCGCCCTGGCTGAATGTAGATGGGAGGAGATCTCTCAGCTTCCTGTACTTTGTTTTGCTTCTTCATTTCTTCTCCCCCATTATAAGCTAACCCATCTCCACACTGGGAGGCTGAGGCAGGAGGATCATGAGCTTAGCCTGGGAATTTCAGCAAATTCATTGAGACCTTTTCTCAAAAAAGAGGGAACAGAAGGGTGTGATGGCTCCTATCTCTAATCCCAGCACTCAGGAAGCTGAGGCAGGAGGATGGCCAGGAGTTGTAGTTCAAGACCAACCTGGGCTACATAGTAAGTTCATGGCTGGCTTGAACCATGTTAGTGAGACCCTGTCCCAAAAAGAAAGAAGAGAGGAGGGCTGGATATGTGTGGAGATAGTGGAGATGAGTGTGTAGCTAAGTGTGAAGGCCCTGGGTTCAATCCTGTACTGCAGAAACAAACAAACCCTTACCTTCTCCAGTTTTCCACTCTCCAGTCAGGAAGAAAGCAACTCTTGGCAAACATCTTGGGCGGGCAGTCAGACTCCTTGCCCATCCACCTGTCTCCCTTGACTCCCTTGTTCGCGGCAACTCCCTGGCAGTCACTCATGCTTGATGCCTCCATTAGCCATGACTGAACCAAGAATCAACCTTCCAACCAGACCAATTCCCCACAAAGTCTGATTCCCATGAGAATTTAAGTTTCACACTTGATTCAAGCCTCTACCCACCTTCCCTCAGCACACAGTAGGTATGTGGATCTGGCAAAGTCCCCCTATACTATACCCCTGTGCAGGGCTTGTAGCTCACAGCTGGGAGGCTCCAATCTGCAGGATGGCTGCTGCGGGGTGCCCTCAGGCCAGGCCTCTGGGCTCAGCAGGAGTAGCATAGGAAGGAAGGTGTCTGAAGGAAGTGGCACAGTGGTATGGCTTGAGTCACTGAGCGGCCCCTTCTTAGCTGTGCAGGGGACCCCAAAGCACCTGGGTGACTGGAATGGTGCAGTCATTCTGAGTGGCAGAAGCCCTGGGTGACTCCACAGTTTAGCACAGGCTGCAAACTACTGCTGCATCCAAGGAGGGACAGTAAGGCCCAGGTGGGCTCACCAGCTGGGAAGAATGGAAGGGCCAAGTGCAGGGCTCTGGGATGTTGACCCTGAGCCCAGGGCAAACCAGGAAGTTGGCAGTGACAGGGTGACAAGGTGGGGAGGTAGATTCCTGGGTGAGGACCAGAGCCCAAGGGGGCTGGAGGAGGTGGCTCAGCTGTCGGATATGGGTAAGAGAGACAGGGTAGACAAGGAAAGGAAAAGGACAGGAAGATAGTGGGTGGTAACTGCATTGGCCTCAAAGGAGAAGGGAGAGGCTGACTGAGAGCCGAGAGGCTGCCTAGGCCTGTGGGAAGCTGGACCCCATCTTCACTCTTGCGAGCAGTTTTGGGGAAGGTGGAAGTTAGCAGCCAAGAGAAAACAATCCTAAAAGTCACGTGGAGTTGGAAGATGCCCAGAACAGGAAAAGCAATTCTGGGTAACAAGAACAAAGCAGGAGACATGATCTCAGATTTCCAGTTATATCACAAAGTTACAGTGATAAAGAGCACAGTAGTGGCACTAGAACAGATCTGTGAATCAGTGGAAGACAAGAGATGACATAGAAATAACCCCATTCAGCCATCTGATGTTTGACAAAGTGATCAAAAACAGACTGAAGGCAAGTGCAAGGTCATGAGTTTCATCTCTGATACAAAAAAACAAAAACAAAAACAAAACAGATTGGAGGAAAGACAGTCTCTTTGGCAAATGGTACTGGGAAAACTGGCTGTCCACATGCAAAAGATTGAGCCTAGACCTGTAGATCTCACCAGGTACTAAACTAAAATCAAAATGCATCAAGCACATAAATTTTGAAATCACATAGCATGCTGAAAGATAGAATACATAAAGCTCTTGCAGTCATGGTTGTAGGTATGGACTTGCTGAACAGAACTCATTTACATGAAAAATAACATCAGGAAATAACAAATGGGATCACATCAAACTGAAAAACTTGCACACTGCCAAGGAACCATCCAATAGTGGAGAGACAACCTGCAGAATGGGAAAAAAAAAAAAAACTGTTGCTATCTATACTTCAGGGCGAAGGTAGGAAGATCCTAAATTACAATGATAACATACAGCACTTACCTCACAGCCCGAAGGTCCTGACTTCAATCCCAAGCACCACAGACAAAGTGTGTGTGTGTGTGTGTGTGTGTGTGTGTGTGTGTGTGTGTGTGTCTGTGTGTGTGTGTGTCTGTCTGTCTGTGTGTGGTGGTGGTGGTGGAGGTGGTGGTGATGGAGGTGAACTCACCAAGAGGTAAAACAATCAGAAGCAAATCTGCATCCAACTATAGAGCTTCCAGTTATATGAAGGAAAATGACAATGTTTAGGAACATGCAATTAAACAATTACAGTTGAATTCTATCCTGAAAATTCACTCATGCATATTTTAATCAGTAAGAAGAGCAATGAGAAAATAAAAAGCTGGAATAAAATGCTGAAGTAGTGAGACCTCAGAGATATCTAAAGTGCACCATTTTGGAGAGACAAAATACAGATTTTTCTTAGTTTTCAAGAACAATTCTGTAAGATAGACTCACATGCTAGGCCAGGCTCAGGATGTTGTGAAAGCCTGAAGTCATTCAAAGTATCTTCTTTGACCACATGGAATGAACCTGAGGTGCAGGTACCCAAAGTTCCAGGGTTTGAAATCTTGAATTTACAGGAAGTATTTTCTCTAACTACATGCATTGAAAGTGGATGTTACTAATGCAGGAACAAAACTATACTGAAACTAAGTATTATACTTGTAAACAACCAATAGACTAAAGAATGTGTGGGCTCCTGGACTTCTGGGTTCCTACCATCAGTCGTGACACTGACTGGAGCCAAAGAGTTAGGAGCCAGCACATGGAGCAGCCCAGGCACTTAGGAGCAAGCAGCTTTGTGCTTGGCAAGTGTGCATTGCAGAGGAAAGCCTGCCTGCTCCCTGGTACTCCTGGACTGTGCTTTCTTGGTTTGTGCCTTAGAGATGGGGGCAGGCATGAGAGCTGGGCTGCTTTACAGAGTTGAGGGAAGCTGGACCCAAGCAGCTGTAATCCTGTGGGTGAGCATGAAGACAGCCAACGGTGCTGTGTTTGGGCATCAGCTATTGGCAGGAACCTCTAGTGTTTTTTACACAGATTATTATCGAGAACCTGACCAAGAGTCCCATAGTCAGTGTCAGGAACCTGGCCAAAAAGTCCCTGTCTGTCTTTACAATGCTGTGAGAAAAATAAAAACCAAGAGACAAGTATTCCTTCAAAGGCTGAAAGTCAATGTCTCCGGATCTGACCTCTCCCATTTTCTTTTTTTTAACACTGTCTGTCACACACATGCCCACTTTCTTCTTGGGTAAGAAAGAGGTATTTAACTGTGTAACACTTTCTTTCCCACAGTGGGATGCCACGGCTGCTACGATTGACAGCAGCTGCAGACCAGTAGCTGTGGACTCTCTTCCACTTTCAAAGCAGCCACTACTTATTAGCTACATACAGTGGTAGGTGGAGGTAGCAAAGGAATACAACTCACCCAAAAACGCTAACTCCAGAGCACATAGATTATGTTTAGAAGTATCTTGACCCAGAGTATAATCCTGTGATGATTTAAGAAGGCATAGATGATCTTATGCTTGGAAGAGTCAATGGGAAATCCCAGATGTATGGTACCAACAATCCCAATCCTTCCTTTCATCCTACAGGGAAATACACAAAACCAGTCACTGTGAATTTGTAACAGATTATTCATAATTGTGTCTCTTTTCTCTACTTTGTTAATTTATTCAATAATTTTGTTTGCATGAATACAGATGCATTGATTTTTGTTGTATGATTTGAGATTTTAAAGTATTCTAAATTTTTTAAATGTTTGAGGTGTTCTTTGTTTTGGAAATTTTTTGTTTGCTTTTTCTATGGCAATTTGCATTAATTTTAAGGCATTTACTAAGAAGAGCCTAGGAAGGTGGTCAAGATTTCATTTCTCTCTCTCTCTCTCTCTCTCTCTCTCTCTCTCTCTCTCTCTCTCTCTCCTTCTCTCTCAGCAGTTGAACTCAGGACCTTGCACTTGCCAGGCAGGCTCTTAGTTGTTCTCTTTTCAAGACTGTTTGATAAGTTTTAATTGATTATCCAGGGGTGCAAATGAATGAAGACATCTTGTGGTTGTGTTTTCAGCTACACTGTCTTGTGTGGGAGGATGTGAGAATCCTAAAAAATGAATGTGTCCACCTTCAGGAGTTGGTTCCCTGCCACTGTGTGCCATCCATCCTGCTGTTCCCCTCGCAGCTGATCCTTGCTCTCCTTTCTGCCCTCCTTGCTGTCTTGAGTGGGTCATTGGCCTCATCTTTGCACACAGACTAATTTCCTGCCACTATACTTTGCCTTTAGTTTTCTAGCCTGTTCTGGTCTCTCCATTTTTCCTTCTTTAGAGTACTTAATTATGTATGTGTGTGCGCGCGCGCGCGCGCGCGCACTTGCGTGTGTGTGTGTGTGTGTGTGTGTGTGTGTGTGTGTGTGTTTGTCTTTTTGAGACAGGGTCTCCCTATGCAGTACAGGCTGGCCTTGATCTCACTTTGTAGTCCAGGCTGGTCTTGAACTCACAATGATCCTCTTGCCTAAGCCTCTCAAGTGCTAGGATTACAGGCGTGTATAATTTGAAAAGTTTAAATTCTAGATTTATTTTGAGACAACTTCCACAAAAAAAGATAAAAACAACATGGGTGTATACTACACTGCTGAAGGAGCCCAAGACTTGTTTCAGAGCAAGTTTCTTTGTACTTGTTTCTGCAAAGAATTGAGAGGTCAGTATCTGCTGGTCACCACCAGCCACCTTACAAACAAGGACCTGGGGGAAAGCCCTCTCGGGTGTCCTCCCTGTGCTTGCCTCTGCGCTGACGTCCCAGTCCCACTGCAGTGGCCTCAGTGGCTGTTGGGTCGTAGGTCGCGCTTGTCCTGGGTGCCCCACTCTCCTGGTGGAGAGTAGCCCACAAGCCTTGAGGCTGTGCTTTTAGGGATGGCTTCTCTGCTTCTTGGGGTTCACGTCCTTCTGGTTCTGCCTTTTGGCAGCTACCTTAATACCCTGTTTTTGTCTGTGGTCTTGCTCTTTATGGGAGGGCAGTGTGTTCTTGTGTTTCCCGTGTTTAGCCTCATTTAGCAGTTCCGCTGTTGCTTTCCTCTCCAGCTCCTGGTCCTCTTCCATCACAAGGCGGCTTCTGGAGTCCTTAGGTGGTGCTGGGGAATGGAGGCTGTGTCCCACAAGGGGAAATGCACAGCAGAAGCAGGAGTTGGTGGTATTTTCTGTAGGATATTTTATTAAGATTGGTGGTCTCTAGTTTTCTTGTGATGTCTCTCTGGCTCTATTGCTAGGGTAATGCTGGACTAGTAGAATAAGTTAAGGCAAATTCCCTCTTCTATTTGGTGGAGATGGACTGGTGTAAAGACTTCTTGAGTTTTTAGTAGAATTCAACAGTCACACTAGTCCATGTCTTCTGTTTTTACTGGGACTTTGATCATTGATACAGTTTCTCTTCTTGATTTGTTATATTTGTTTCTATTTTCTAACACTTCTTCAGTTACTTTTACTTGTTTAACAATTTGTCCACTTCATATGTTATCTAATTTGCTGTTGTACAATTCTTAGTATGTTTTTCTTCCTTTTCTGTTTTTTATTTTATTTTAAAGGGAATAAAACAAAACAACAAAAAGAAACAAAACAAAACAATGAGAATGATACTGGACTTCAAAAATAAGACATTAGGAAATCCACAATAGTTACTGTATTTCATATTGTTATCTTCTACATAGATGCTCAGACTACTGGCTTTAGGCTTGCACAGTCAATCAAACAACACAAGCATTAAGTTCTTTCTTTATTTCAGTTGCTCTCATCTCAGTTTGTGTTCTGTACAGGGCAGGGAGTGTGGGAGAATCCTGTCCCTCTGCTCTGGTGCTGGCTGACTCCTGGGGAGGGTGCTGCTTCCTGGTTCTCTCACAGCTGGCTTAGTTGCTGCTGGTGCCTGAGAGGGTACCACTTTCTTACCTCCTTTAGGTGCACTTTTCAGAGATTGCTACAAATACTCCCAGTGGAATTTCTCATACTGTTGTTTGACTCCTTTAACACCTTTACATTTATAAACTTATTTATTTTTGTCTTTTAAAAAATTTTAAATAAAACCAAGGAAAAATTTTTAAATAAAGCCAAGGAAAATAAAACAATAAAACCAATAAAAATAAGCCAGTATAAGTAATACAGGACTTTAAAACATTACAAAACCAATAATAGTTACACAATGCCTTTTGTTGTCTTCAAAATAGCTTCAGATACTTTCAGACATAGTAAAAATTGAACAGAACAGAATAGAAACAATAAAAACAAAACAGTGAATGCATTAAAGGACTTCAAAACAAGCCACTAGTTAATCAAAAATGGCTACCATCACATCTTGTTATCTTTCAAATAGTTGCTTCTGCCATCAGATGTAACATAATCAAACAAAACAAAAGAGAATAAAACCCAACCCAACAGAACAATGAAAATGATGTGGTTTCGCAGCTGGGATCACTTCCTGGTGAGTCCCGGATATCCCCCCCCACTCAGTCCTGGAGTGGTGCTGACTTGCTGATAGAAGTTTGGGTGTGGCTGCCCCCACTCTGGCAGCAGCTAGCACATGGCATTGCTTTCCAGGCGGGGAACTTACTGTCTTTTTAAGACAGGATCTCACTATGTAGCTCAGGCTGTTCTTGAACGACAATCCTCTTGCATCAGCCTCCTGAGTGCTGGGATTATAGGATTGAGTCACTACACCTTTCCTACAGGGCCGATTCCTATGTTTGTTTCACTGCAGGGTGACCCTGAACCATGGGTAATGCATGAGTAACTGTCCCATCGGGCCGCATGGACCCATGTACCACCCATGGCTCAAGCTGGTGGCAAGGTGCTCATCTGTCTAGCTAAAGGGTTTTCAAGTTTTGGTTTTCTTGTTTCTTATTACACTTCATTTCCTGATTCAGATTTTGACTAAGTCATTTCTCCTGCTAAGGATGTGTTTATTTCTGATTGGGTTAGGTTTGTTGAACTAGAAAAGGTCTAAAGCTAGTTTATTAATTTTACATGTCTCTGCTATTTTTAGTGGTTCATCATTTTGGTGAGCAGTAAGGAAACCTCTCCTGTGGGGACTTTTGATCTTAACCACAGTAGGTTTATCCATGAGAAGTGTGGGCTGGACTCCGCCCGAGTCCTCATTCAGGAAAAGCTGTCAAGGACCCAGTTTGTGGCCTTAAGGACAGACCATCAACACCATGAGGATCACAGTCATGTCCTCATGACTTTGAGAGCTAAAGAGCAGGGAAGAAAGCGAGAAAGAGAGAAACAGTGCTTTCCTAAATCTCCAGTTTGCCCCAGGATCACAGAGGTCAGCTCGGGATTTGTGAGTGACAAGTGTATGGGGCTCACAGGAGGTAGCATCAAAGAGGAAGTGGATGTTCTCTTAGGGCAGCTTTGGCCTCTCAAACCCCACGGCAGTGGGTCCTGAGCTGGGGGAGGATGATTTGGTGGCTCACTGAGCAGCAGTGTAAGCAGGGGCCTTGAAGGCCAGCTTCCTCCTAACTCTGCCCCCATGAGAAGCAAGAAAGCCAGGGAGAGAGGCCAGCTAGGATGTGTGGTTTGAGGCCGCCTTGCTTGTCACATCCTTGTGTCCCCCAAGTTCCTGTGTGGTGTTTGGGGTCTCTCCTCACACTGAAGAGATGCTCAGTGCCCTAACAGTGGCTGTAACATCTGGGTGCACCCGTATCCTCCCTCAGCCCCTTGGTGTAGCTGAAACTGCCAACATCACTAAGCCTGAGCTTAGCTGGGGCTTTACCTTTGATAAGGGCTGAGCTTTACCTTGCTGAAGGTTGTCTGCTGTGCCAGACTTGGGTCAGAGCACTGGGCATGTAGGTGGCTGTGGCAGAGGCAGCAGCGATTGAAGTTTCAGAAGGGAAAAGAGCCTGGGTGACATTGAAGCTGCCTGGGAGCTGTCCAAGATGCCTGAGGTTGAGTTTGTGAGTGAGGATCCCCCAAGGGCTGCCTGTGCTGGGCTACTGGAGGCTGGCTGACCTGGAACAGGGGTTGGGGCCAGGCCCGGAGCTGTAGCTGCCAGGACTGAGAAATAGAGACCATGGGTATTGGTGGCTGCTCCGTGCTGCTGCCCATCATTGGCCCCCAGTGTGGTCAGGATGGAGGAACATTAAAAGTGGTGTTTATGTGTAGGGGGAGGGCTGATCTCTCAAGCTCTGTCCTGGTAGGGTGGATGCTGTGACCCTGCTGCCCCTGGGCAGTGCCACAGTCAGCTGTGCAGATGGAAAGGAGTTCCCACCGGTGCCAGGGGGAGGCCCTGGAAGAAGAGAATTGTGTAAGGGTGTGATATATATAGATGTTGTCCCATTGGTGGTCCCTACCTGGGGACCAGAGTCCATGGCTATGGCTGTACTGCTACTGGGTGGTATCACTGTCAACTGTGCAGAGAGGAAGGAGTTCCCACTGGTGCCAGGGGGAAGCCCCAGGAGGAGAAAATGGTGTGGAGGTGTGGGTTCAAGATGTCACCCCAGTGCCAGTCTCTGGAAACCAGAGCTCATAGCTATTGCTGTGCTGCCATTAAGTGGTGTTACAGCTGGGCAGAAGAGTTCCCACTGGTGCCAGGAGTAAGCCCCTGGAAAAGATCAGGTGGAGGCATGGTGTCCATAGGTATCTCCCCACTGTCTGTGTCTGAGTGCAGAGCAGAGGCTGTGGCTGTGGCTGTGGTGTGGGAAAAGAGGCCTGGAAGGGCCTGTGAGCTCAAGAGGGGCCTGGCTGAAGAGCACTTCCTTCTGGACCCAGGATGCACTGAAGTGGCCACAGCAGCAAATGCCAGGGGTGCCCTGGAGACCTTCTCTTTTGTGTTCTTACTCTTCCTCGCAGGAACGGTGAGTGGAGGAACAGTCCCTCCTCCACTGGGCAGGGAAGAGGGGCGGGCAGGCTATGTGGTGGTGCTGATGTTTAGGGCCTGCAACTTACCCATCAGCCTGCTGTTCAGAAGCTGGAATGCTGTCTCCTTCTCCTGAGCTACGTGTTATGCGATGATCTTATAGCTTACTTCTGGAGGTGGTGGCGGCATCAGGGGGTCCCCTTGCCACTGCTGCAGGAGTGGGATCTTTCATCTTCCTACGCCACCCTCTGTTGTGAGCTTGCCCATCCTTCCTTGTTTCTTCCTGCTTGGATGGCGTGTCAGCCATAACCTTGTTCCTGGTCTTCTGGGGCTGAACACTGACCCTAGTGGAGGAGAGCAGCTGGGGCACACAGTGGCTGGAGCCCTCCTGTGCAGTCCAGGAAATCCCCTGTAATATTCAGTGTTTTACTAAAGGAACAGATATAATACAATATATACAGATGTACAGGAAAGTACAAGGTCAGCTTATAATGGTCAGCCACAGAGTTGGAAGCAGAAGTATGCAGAGGGTGTTTACATGCTAGAGACTGAAGAATTCAGTCCAGCGTTGACACTGGAAGGCTGAAGGAGCCAAGGTGGAAGCTGAAGAGTCTGCACTAGAAGTCAGGAGATGATGTGCAAGTCAAAGGCAAAGACTGGAGGTCCTCCGAAGAATGGAACCTCATCCATCTTTCCTCCTTCCCTTTTATACCATCCAGGTGAAGACCACCTTAGGGTGGGTCTTCTACACCCTAGGGTGTAGAATTGCTGAGCCAATTTAGTAGTTAAGTTTCTAAGCTTCTCAAATTGACACAGTCAATCAGCCACGACACTCCTAGTGGAGCTATAGGAGCTGGTGATACTAGTTAGCCATGTTGAGCTCATACAGGAGGGTTGGGGTCTGAGGGTCGGGGCCTGGAGGTACCTTGATCTCTAGAGCTCTGCCCATGGAGGTTTCTGGGCAGAGGCCCAGGCTTTGGGACAAAAGGAATCAGGCTTCGCTGGCCTACCATAGGCACCTCAGGACCATAACATCCATCCTCTGTTGGGTCTGCTTCTCTATGAGCCAAAGGGTCAAGTGGTCTGCTAAGTGTTGGGGGATGAGCTACAGGATGTCTGAAAACTGCTGCAGAGTACCTGCTTCCTCTGAAGACAGCCTGCTGACTGCTGACCTGTAGCCGCAAGGGCCTGCAGGTACAGGAACAGTGTTTTGGGTACTTTTCTCCAGAGCACTGATGTCAGTCCTGAGGAAGTCAGA